TTTGTTCTGTTTGAAAATGTGACTGCGATAGTATTTCTAAGAAGACAATACAGTAAAGTATGCTAATACAACAGTGGAGTTATGGCCTCGCGGATTCTCGGATCAGAGTCTGTTAATGAAGAAAGCAGAAAAGCTCCCTTGGCATAGCGCCTAAGAGGTGGCTCGCGTGAAGGTTGCAGTCAGATTACGGAATAAAATATTCCTCTCTAACGAGGTAACCACTGAAATTGACCGCTTGGATTCTACACGTTCTCTGACGCGGTGCTCAGATGAAAATTAGTGTTACCGTTTAGAAATACCGAACACCGTGCAAAGGATAAATCGTCTTGCAAAGAGTGCAACCTGCCGGAATTGCGGTAAGCTGGATCATTTTGCTAAACATTGTCGTTCTTGTAACATTTCTGTGTTGATTCTTAAATGCCTCTACGGCTTCTCCAGTCATCAATGAACATTCCATATATGACTCTAGTGAATGGTAACACCGAGTTTCTTTACCCACGAAAGAACCCAAGCTGCCTTCACCAGATATTCATTGTGTTATTGGAATTTAGAAACAAAACCATTTGTCTTGACATGGAACTGGATTCCGAGTCACACCTCACAGTGGTGCCACATAATTTTTACAAACTGTATTTTGGCCACTTAACTGTGCATCCTTCCGTTTACACTTTTAGCAGCTACTCAGATGGTGTTGTACAAATACTTGGTTTTGTTACGGTTTCAATGTATTTTTTAAAAACAGCAGGAAGCGCACTGGTGAACTTTACGTTTCTAACATTTACAGCAAGCCTCTACTGGGACGTAACGCCATGCTCTTATTGAAAGCATCACCATGCGTCGATGGAATGACTATTGCCAGCATCAACTTTCATTCGTTACCGTCCAGTTACCCAAATATCTTTTTTCCGGATATTGGTAGAGTCCCACAAGCAATGCACCGCATTCGGTTGAGCGCGGATTACAAACCGTTCAGTGTTTTACAACATAGGCCTGTACCTCTAGTCAAACTGTATGTCGAATATTGCATTATAGAGTAAGCAGAAACGAATTCTGTACAACTCCTTCTAAATATGGCGAAATATGTTATATAAATTGTCAGCTGTGAAATTTGTTATGGTTCTCATGTAATATTTAGAATACCTGACGCACGGTATTTCAGGATTCACAAATGTGACATGTCATCGTAACTGTGCAATCGTTCTCTGTATCGAATAGTGGTAAAATATAAATCTAACGAGGATTTGAACTGCTGCACAGATCTTGCCTCCATCACATGTTCAGGCCAACTGTTCCAAATATTTACCAATCTCCGTTCGAAGCACAGTGGGTGGGGAACACGCTTCACATCCGGCACGACAAGTTTGTATCTGTGTCCGCATGTGCTGCATGGCCCTCGTAAGTGCAGCATTGGCCTTAGCACTGGGAAGTCACCGAGATGTAGAATACGGTAGGTCATAATGAGGTCGACTCGCACCCGACGGTAGGGCAAGGTATGGAGTCCTAGTTTCTCACAATGGTCTTCATACCCCGAGCCACGTAAATTCGGGATAAGCCTGGTAGCAACGTGTTGAACCGGTTCGATCTTTTGTGTCTCGCGTCGGATAATCGGAACGTAGGCGGGCGAACCGTACTCTAGCATTGGACTAAGGATGGAAGAGAATAAGAGAGTAGCACCCATTTCAGACCATGTGCCGAAGCTACGTTTGAGCGCCCAAAGCAGGCGCAGTCCGTTACGATATAACCTGTTTGTGTTGTCCACAGACTTCCAATTGTGGCGCGACCGTACACCTAAGTCCTTTACGGAGGGTGTGGGATATAGCGGTTGGCCGTCAAAGGTGTAGGTTAGGCCGTCAGCACCCTTCTCCGGGCTTCTAAATACAGACTTGGCTGGGTTGACCGAGGGATGAACTTCTGTAGATCATATGGATAGACAGTTGAGGTGTTGCTGAAGTACGCTACATTCGTCGGAAGCGTCAATTTCTCTCCAAATGTTCATGTCGTCCGCAAACAAGTCACACGGCGACCGGAGAAGTTGAGGTAGATCGTTGTCGTGGATCAGGAACAGACTGGGCCCCAGCACAGTGCTTGAGGCACGCCACTTCTAGTGGGATCCCAGTCAGTTAGCTAATCGTCAACCTGTACTCTCCACTTTCGTCCAACAACAGTGAGCCAGCGACACGGCAGATCCTGAGTTTGTGAAGGAGGACCTCATGGCTGACCCTGTCGAACGCTTTACTGAAGTCAATGAATTTCATGTCGAAAAACCTCCCCTTGCTCATTGCGTTCAACCACTCATGCGTCGTCACAAACAGGCTTGTAATGCATGAGCGGCCCTGCATGACATCGTGCTGTGGGGCCGTTAGGACCTTTATATATATATATATATATATATATATATATATATATGTATACGTATATATATGTAGCATCACCATCATCAACAGCAGTACATCAGACGTTTGAGCTGATGCTTCGCTGCCATACAACCATGAGGACCTATGCAATAAAGAATAAGAAGAAGGAGACTAGGGGGACTTACCTGAAAACCTTAATGCCCTAAGCAAACATTCAGGGTCAAGGCGCCTACACCTTGTGTAGACAACATACCGTCACAAACAGCTGGCTATCGTGCAAAGATAAGGCGGCATCGGCGAGACAGCTTCCTTGCGGCTTTCACTGCCAAGCGTCATAATCAGACATTACCACGCAGATAACTCAGCGCCAAACACACTTTAAACAGACAATCCGATTAGGAGACAGCAGCAGACGCGCCACCGGTGTCGGTTGCGAGCTATGTTCTGTAAAGTCTCGAGCCAAGCACAAGGTGAGTCACGTGGACTCCAACCCGGAAGGTTAGACGGACCAACGGCACCCAGTTTGGTCGTCATTGACTTCATTTCCCGCTGCCAAGTCAACTTCTGTACAGTTCGAGCCTTGCGCCACCCTACATCTGGTAGACTGAACAAGGCC